TTTCCACAGGTCTGCTTCTGAAAGGATTCGAATCTGCCAAATGAAGATTTGGTAATTTGTCGGCATTGACCGATACCGAAAGCAAATTTCCCGAAATGTTTGGCATCATCAGCTCCTAATAATATTTCCACAGGTCTGCTTCTGAAAGGATTCGAATCTGCCAAATGAAGATTTGGTAATTTGTCGGCATTGACCGATACCGGAAGCAAATTTCTCGAAATGTTTGGCAAAATAGAAGCAGAAGTATTTAATAAAAATGACGAAGCAGTACTAGAACCTATTATCAAATTACAAGTCTTCGTCGAAATGGCCGAAAATTCCTCATTTACGACCGAAAACTTCGCTGCTTCGGAAATGGTTGGAAGCTTTAATCTTTTTCTCAACTTTTCCAAAATTATAGGGCATTCTGAAGCAGGGTCAATTAATGCTCTAACTTGATACCTACAGCCATTGTGTATCAAGTCGACTGTTGCTGTACCCAAAAGAACAGAATGATTCCTACGAGTATGGAATACTTGTCGTTCAGTCATGGTGCCTGTCGTAGTAGGTCTTCCAGCTGTTGTACCTGACAAAGTGGGTCGTTGGTCATAAGGAGTATGATTAGTGGGTCGTAAAACCACACCAGAATTGTCATCTAATGAATTAGCTAAATTACCCAAAGGAATAGAATGGTTTTGACTGGTTTGAAATACTTGTCGTTCGACTATAACGCCTGACGTAGTCGGTCTTTCTACCAATGCAGTTGACAAGTTAGTAGGTCGTTGGTCATTAGGAATGGGATTGTATGGTCGTAAAACCAAAGAAGAGATGTCATCTAATGACTCAGGAAATGCATTTCTAGAGTTTTGCGAAGCTGAAAAATCCCGATGTAGTGAAGTATGGTGCCGCTTATTACAAATAGAACAACGATGTTCACTTAAACAATCATTACTTCATGTGAGTTAGCTAGACAATTTATGCAGCAATGAAATTTTTTAACCGTTCTAACTCTCTCAGGAATAGACATTCTATCAAACTGACGGCAAAAACGAAGTAAATGGCCCGGTTTTCTACATAAAACACAAGCATTCGTAGGACCTGTATTCGAAACATGAGTCTTTTCCTTGCGTTCAATGCCTTTCTTATCAGTGTTGGAACTCATAAGATCGCGTATGCAATCTAACGTTTGGATTCTTTCGGTCAAAAACATGTCCAAATCTTTCCATAAAGATAAGGCAGTTTTGTCCTTAACACTTTTTTCCCATAGTGTCACTGTCTGAGAGGGCAGTCTTTGTATGCAAATAAAAACGATAATTGGATCCCAATTTTGAGTGGGAATCTCATATATCGACATAGCGGTTAAAAATCCATTGATTCCACGCTGTAACCTTTTCAATGAGGAACTATTCTCCTCTGCTATTGTCTCCAAACCAAACAAGCACTTTAGTTGATTATTAACTAGCATTCAAGGATTTTCGTATGTATCTTTTAAACTTTTCCACGCTATATCAAACCCAGCATTAGTCAACGGTCATTTAGATAGAATTTCTCTCGTTTCGTTATCTGTTCTTTTCACTAAATAACATAATCGCTCGATATTACTAAGCCGACTGTTATTAATATATAAAGCAGTGAAAAGATCCCTAAATGTAGGCCATGAGAGATAATCGCCGTTGAAGATGTCCGTATCACATGGCGGAAGAGGTAGATTATGACTAACATTATCAAAATTTGAATCATTGTTTGTATGAGGAGAAACTTTAGGCTTAGTCTTTGCTTCCAATTCATCAATCTTAATTTTTATCGACTTTGAACATCGCGAATAAACATTAAGGGTACTCTGGAATTCACTTTCAGCCACTTGAATATCTTCTGGCTCTGCGTCTTCAGAAGATTCAAGATCGTCTAAACACTTATCGAAAGTAATTTTCACCTTTTCCCAACACATCTTCAATTCACTTTCTAAAACTTCGAAGTAGTACACGTGATGTTCTTCCTCGCGTATATTATTAAAGTTTGCCTCAAATTTTATTACGGCATCTGAAGCACGAGTGAATCGTTCGAGGGCTGTCAAAGGCATTTTCACAATTTTAAGATTGGATTGTATTCAGTAAAGCCGTATAAAAATGGAAGCAGCGTTCAAATTCACAAAAAAATTTAATTTGTATTATAAATTTCCCAACAAACTATTTAAAAGTCAAATCGACCGACCGTAGGGTAACTAATAATAAATTAGTAAAAGAAGGAAGAAGAAGAATTTTACTTTCGCAACACAATTACTAATATTGAATTAGGTTATTAATCACTATTTATTTCACTCAAAAATTAACACCAAAATATTTTTTTTTTAATAGTGAAAAGTTAATTTTTTATTAATTTGCCGAAAAGCAAATGCAATTTCTAATTATTAATTATGGCTGTCCGTCCAAAGTAAACAAAACGCAGCCTTGATTATAAAAGTACCGATCACTATCTGTCAACAGGTACTGTATAAAATATAATCGCGCAAGGATGTATTAAATAGGGATTAAAATTAATTCACAATAAATTATTGGCAGTAAAATTAATTCCCTCTTTCGACAATAGACACTTGTTTGTTGTTTTCTTTTGTTTTTTCTTTATAACACATACGTATATACATCCATATGTATGTATTTATGTATGTTTATATACATTTTTCCTTTTGACACAATCACTTTAATATCAATTTACTAACCTTATTTAAATTAAGTCTTAAACAAATCTCCAAAAAAAGGGCGCTTATTAATTCCTTGGCAAGGAGTCTTCCTTTCATACGTTGGAGTATGTCCTTCTTAGTGTTTTATCCTCGGTTCGAAAAGAGCATGTAATTATTCGGTTCGAAGCGACCAATGTTTCGGCGTCAATCCGATTTGGTTCAGTGTAAATGCACAAAAAGAATAAAACACAAAGAATTATTAGTTTTATAAAAGGAGAAGATTTTTCTTCCTTTATTTATATATTACCTTAAGCATGTATGCACAACAAGAAGTGCTATTTAAGGCTTCTATATGACGAATGATAAAAACTACTTAATTCTAAGTATGGAGGCTAACAAAGTTTAAATACAGTTAGCGGTTTACTCGTTGAATTAGTAAAGCTGTATGGCCACACGTCCCCATTTGGTCAAATCTTGTTTATGTGTTAGTAATTTATTCCAGCAATCATTGAGGAAGAAGAAGCATAAATTTCATTTTTATTTAGATTTTGCGACGGCAACATCATTTTTTTACCGCATGGTGATAAAAATATGTATGAAAAAATTTTATGCGTTATGTGTCAACACTGTTACACATGCAATTTTTACCATTATTATAAATGTAATTTTTGTTATAAAAAACAATTATTAATTTTTTGAAATTATTATTTTATTAATGAAAAATTGTTTTATTAAAAAACTGGATATTTTTCTTTGTATATTTCAAGTAAAATTTGGTACTGTTGGTTTAAACATATTCGAATATGTTTTTTTTTTCATCTATATTTCATTTACCTTGCGGCAAAAAATGTGGTGTTGTCACACCAAAAACTAAATAAAAATGAATTTATGCTTCTTCTTCTTCAATGTTTGCTTCTTCTGTTTCAATTTCTGTTGAAAATCAAAAGTGTTTTGATTTTCATCAAACCAGTGCGTGTGAGTTTTTTTTTTCACTAACACAATCAAAAAAATCCTGTGTGTGTAAATTTGTTTGATCGTTGCCACCTTAAGGGCCCTTCACACGGTCACACTTTACGTACGACAAGTCTAATGAAAAAGTAAAATGAAATTCCATCCGTATGACAAAAAAGAGAATAAAAGTCGTATGATTTATATTTTTTGTGTTTACACGATTGGTATAAAACAATAACAAAGTAAGATGGAACAGCTGTTTCACTTTTTTTGTATGTGTTTACATAAAAATACATTCCTGATCTAATGCGACTTGCTTGTTTTTTGAATCATTTCAAAAAATGAAGAGAGCCATACGACTGTCAAATTTTCCATCCGTATTTTCTCTCAATGTGTGATGGTTTCATTACATATTGCGTTTAGACGATCCCATCCGTTCTCTTCTACACAAAATTTTGACAGATCATATTACTTGTGTGCTCGTGTGAAGGGGGCTTTAATAGTTTTCCATCAAAGATGTAAACTAAAGTAGTAAATCATTAGGATTTACACTTAGAGGAAAAATACTGCAGATAATCGATTTGTACTTAAACAATATTCAATATAAAATATTTAATGTATAAAAATATTTAATATAAAAATGGTGTTTTTCGCACACACACAAATCACAATTATACACAACAAAAATGACAAACAATAATTTTGACAGTTTTGTTTTTGTTCTCATTTCCTCTTCCTCTTCTTTTTCGTACGACAAAGTTGAATATTTTTCAAATTTTTAACTTCATGCACAAGTTTGACGTATTGATTGTGACGGCTCTCATTAAAATACATACAGTAAACACGAGCTGTCAGTCGCAGTTCATCGTAAAGGTTTGTATTTGTTTGGACCTATATACACATCGCTTTGGGGCAACAGGAAAATTATTAGCAAAGGCGTAATTAAAAATTTTTAGAAATTCTCACATTTTTTAATATCTCAATTTATTCGATTTGAGATAGATTGCTATACAATTTACTTAACATTATAAAAGCCATTTTACTGTAAACTATGTTTTTCTTAATTATGATCCATCGGAAATTTGCGATATGTTTGTCTATAATATTTGTATATTAATTTAACAATTCAATAAAACAAACAAAAACATAAAAATGAAACATGAATATGTTATCGGATGCGTTAATTCAATTGTAATAATGCAGTTTTTCATTGATATTGACATTTTTTTACTTGTTTTAAAAATAATTTAACAAACAAATAATGAATGGATATTGTGATTCGTGTTACAAAAACTGGTGGGCTGTATACACACATACATACATACATTATCTCTACTCAATGCAAATTAAATTAAATTATGCAACTAAAAGTATCTAAACTCGCCCTTCTTACCCAAATGCTTGTTACGTATCCAATCGGCGTTGTCATTGCTAGATGTACGGGAATCAAAATTGTCCTGAAAATATAATAATCCTTTAGCATTACATTTTTTAGTAATAATTTTATAAACATACGGTTGCACTAGAGTTTCTTGGTTTTGTATAATTGGAAGTTTGCTGGTGATGACCGTCATACATGTTTTGGTTTCGAACAGTCTCCACATCACCATAGTTATAGGGTGTAACAATTGTATGTGGTACATGAGCCATTTGTCCACGAATGTTTCGAGCTTTCCACCATTTTCTAGAGTCGTCTAGAATCTAAAAAACATGTATGATGAAATTAGATATCAATTGATAAAATGATTGAATAGCGAAAAAAGCATACCCACCTCAAGGTATTCACCACGAACCACACTTAATTCTTTATCATTATTAGCAGTACGAGGATAAGTTACTAATACTATTTTAGCACCAGCCGCTTGTAGTTCCTCCAACCACTGTTCCACCATTACATCATCTCCGGAACGTATGCTACTTGATATTTCTGGCACTGCATGACTTCCTGTAGTCAGTGAGGATGAGTTTATCTGATCCATCATATTTTTATGTGTCGTCGAACGCAGTCCACGATTGTAAAGATTTTGAACTCCAGTAGTGATTGCCTGTATTCCTACAGCACCCACATCTCCAGCACTACCCATTGATGTTGCAACATTTGAATGATTTTTGGTATTTTGCTGGTGATCATTGTATGACATAACTACCTCACTATAACGATCCGTTGTGTCAATTGTGTTTTCAATGTTGTATTTATCACTTTCATCGCAATCATCGTAACTAAGGACGGCATTATCATGGGTAGCCAAACCACTATTCCCTGCCATGTCCATATCTAGTTCACGGCCATTTTCTGCGTGAACACGTTTATTGCTACTGCTAATAATAGCAGGTGGTGGAGGAGTCATGGCATTTGGTTTTTCTAATTCATCAATGATTAAGTAGTCCGGAGACCAGCCATCTAAAAAGACTGGATGATAAGATCCAACATCATCCTTCCATTGATCTCTTGGCACAGTCCAAGCATCACCCAAAGAGCGCCAAAGTTCGGTCTCTTTACTCGTTACACAATTAATCAATAAATTAACAGCTTCTCGAGTAAGCAAAGGGTTTATTACCCTTGCTGGGAGTTGAGACTCATAGTATGTATCGCTTGCTGCTTCCACAATTAATGCCAAAGGTGTAAATAAAAAATGTACTAACTCTGGAGCGTTTGGATCATGAATATGAGCCTTAAGTTTTGCTAATAGATTAAAAGAGAGCTTAAACTTGGCAAATATGTCAATAAATTCTTTTTCGTGTGGTGGTCGTGTACGCAATGTCAAAAGTCCCTCACCAGGATCTTTTTTCTTCGATTTTCGGTTGCGTCTTCTTCTTTCAAGTTCTCGAGAGGCGGCTGCCGCATGTTGTAGACGAGCTATAAACTTCTCGATGTCATCAAAACAATGATTAAGTACATTAACATCGCGTTCATATTTATCACTGGACACAGAACTAGTTTCATCATTTAAATTTACACCGCCAAAACCACCTCCGCCTAATGCACGTGAATCATGAATTCCGCCATGATCTGAATCCGTTTCAGCCAAGCCTACTGCTACATTATCATTATCGACTCGCATGGAATAGCTATGTTGTTCTTTGCTCATGGAACGTTGCTGATAACTTGTATGTTGTTCATTATTACGGGAATGTGAGACTTTATTTTGACCATGCATACCACCACTATTACTGTTGGAATCCATATATACTTGAGAATGAGGGTTGATGATATGAGATTGTTGAATGTGACGTGAACTTCCTTGTAATGCCATCACTTCACGTTGTTGTAGATCAAAATTACCTCTTTGTAAGTTTTTCAAATCCTCAACTAAATGAACAGCTGAAACACTTTGTGACTAATAAAATAAACGAAAAGAGTTTATTAATTTTTATCAGATTTAATATCAATTATATTAAGAATGTTCAGGGATACATATCGTCATCTGAAATCCAAAAGCCTTAAAAAACCTTTTTAAATAATAAATAATCCAAAAATTTTCAACATTTTTTCAAGTTAAGCTTATTGAAGAAAAATTTGCAGTTTTTGTTTTAATTACTCCTAGTGTTTATAAACCGGTTAACCGGTTAACCGAAAAACTGTTTATTTTTGCATATTTTCGGTTAACCGGGTTATCCGGTTTTTTCACTCGGTTAACCGGTTTTTAATATTGTAAAATATCGCTAAATTGATTTTTGTTTCTATTTGTATTTGTTCGTTTTTTTAAACTTTTAACGTATCTCTTTCCGTTTGTTATCATATCGCTGTGAATTGCTTTCTTATGTTTATTTCGTAAAGTATATTTAACGAGATTAACTAAATAACAGCTGTTAAGTTTTTTGTATATGAGTTTCAATAAAATCTTCATATGAAAAAAATTACAAGCTAGGCTACTAACTACACCTTGTTAAATTCATGGGTTTGTTTTGATTATTTGTTTCTCTGACACTTTTTACGTGAAACAAAATAAATATTTATGTTGAATCAAAGGGAAAAAAGATTGAATGTTTATTTAAAAAGTTATTAATTAAAAAAGACAATTATAAACAAAAATAAAACTAAAGTGATCGTTTATGTTTATTTATTTAAAAAGTGAGTGAATAGTTAAATTTAAATATAGTCTGAGAATTAATATTCTTGGTTTTTGCTTACAGAAATGAGTTCGAAAGTTTGGAAATATTATAAAAAGAAAAATGAGAAGGCTCATTGTACTATTTGTCCACAAATTCTTGCTTGTAAGGGGTCTTCCACCTCGTCGCTTAAAAGCAGCGTTTAAATATGCAGCACTAGCACCACCTCTCTTGTATATGACTATAAAACAGGGTAGGTAAAAATATCGCTCGCGATCGCTATTTTATTTATATCGCTCGTTTTAAAATTCAAAATCGCGAGTTTTATTTTTCAACACGCGAGCACAATTTTAATTAGAGTTTTATGTGTTTTGTATTCGCTTCGTAAGCGATATTTACATGTTTTTGTTTTTTCAACTCGCTTACGAGCGAGTGGAAAACGAGTTAAATTCGAGCCGAAAATCAGCAAAGTGTGTGTGCAAGAAACAGGTTCTGTTGTGGTAGTAAAAAAGAACCAATAATATGGGAAATAATTATGTATGTGTGATTGTGTAGCCGTAGGTTTTATGACGGTCTGACAAAGCAAAAGTGGGAAAGTATAAGAAATATATTGTCTACCTTTTTATTTAAATGTGTATGTTTTTTATCTGTAGTTATGTATGTACATATGTATATTGATGGACATGCAAGTGATCCTTAAACATTTTTTTTATTTATTACTGCCGGTTTCTCTAAATGCGAAAGAACATTTTCTTTCTTATAAATATATTGAAAACAACAAATAAATTAAAAATTTTGTTTTTTTGTTTTCAATATATTTATAAGAAAGAAAATGTTGTTTCGATATTGTGAAACAGGCAGTTAGATTATTGATTGTGAATCAAAAGGTTTGGAAAATTTTATTATTAAGATAATAAAACACTTATTGAATGATGTATGTATGTATGTATGTATGTATGTATGTATGTATGTATGTATGTATGTATGTATGTATGTATGTATGTATGTATGTATGTATGTATGTATGTATGTATGTATGTATGTATGTATGTATGTATGTATGTATGTATGTATGTATGTATGTATGTATGTATGTATGTATGTATGTATGTATGTATGTATGTATGTATGTATGTATGTATGTATGTATGTATGTATGTATGTATGTATGTATGTATGTATGTATGTATGTATGTATGTATGTATGTATGTATGTATGTATGTATGTATGTATGTATGTATGTATGTATGTATGTATGTATGTCTGTATGTATGTATGTATGTATGTATGTATGTATGTATGTACGTATGTATGTATGTATGTATGTACGAAGTGTCTACTACTTTGCAGCAAATAATATACATACCTACATATGTATTTGTGTACATAATTTTAATGGGAAACTTATTTGGTTATGTCATATTTATATATAAATTGATTATGCCTTATAAATTTAAATTTATACCATTTACAAAATTATAAAACTCGCGATTAAGTCGTTTTGACTCGAATCGCGAGCGAGTTCTATTTTACGCTCTTTAAATTTTCAACTCTTATCGCGAGTTTAAAAATTAAACTCGCGAGTCGAATAGATTTATTCGCCGGAAAATGAATTACTTAAATCGCTCGAATTAAACTCGCTCGCGAGCGAATTGAATTCGATCGCTATCTGTACCCTGCTATAAAATAAATATGAAACTTTATCATTTTCATATATCACTTTGCTACTAAAAATTGCAGTCATATATATTCGTATTAATATAAAAATTGCAACTCGTGTTTGCAATTTCTAGTAGCAGGCAGACATGATTGCAGGGCAACACAAATATATTTTTGTGCTTTAGCAGCGCACACTCAAATTTGTTAAACTAATATGGCGAGTATTGATGTTATTTTTGTTTGCGTTTAGTTTTTCCTAGCAGCAATGTAACTTTATTTTGGTTTTGCTACTGCCAGTTGTAGTTTTATTTATTATTTTTTGGCAATATTGATGCTGCAATTTGTAAATAAACATATGTAGGTATGTATGTATGTAAGTACACTGACAGTTTTATGACATTTCATGAGCTTAAATTCAAATATACAGTTAATTGGTTTTATTTTTTATTGGTTTTATTTAAAAAAAGATATTATTTTTCCAAAAAACAAAAAAGTAACACATTTAATTATTAAAAACAATTATGATAATTATTATTTACTACTTTTTTTCTTCATATTTTGGTTCTTTGAGTTCTCATTTAAGCTGAAGTTAAAAAGGTGCAAAATTTACGTCACAAAAGTAAGTATACAGATCATTTCAGTATATATTTGGTTTAATGATATTAACAAAATTTATGAAAATGTTACTTGTATTAATATAATTACTTTTTAATAAAATATTTTTTACACAATAACTTTGAAAAAATCTACTTTTAGTTCCGAAATCTTGAAATTTGGGCCGATTGGCTCCGGAATTAATTAGTAGTAGAGTTTTTTCTCATTTCTACGATTTTTTTCCACTTTAGACCCCGGGTTTTGGATCTGGTGGTCATTGAACCCTCCAAATGATGCATTGGAAATAGAATTTTTAACTTTTGAAAAGAGTTGTTATTTCGAAATTAATGTTATATGCATGGATTTGGCCATTTTGAACACAGTACGTTCTTAAAAACCCGAAATTTAACTCCGATTTCTTATGACTTACAATATAAACTTTAAAATTTGGATAATTCTATATATTTCCTTTAATATAAACAGGTTTTCCAAATACTCCGATTTCCAAAGCATACAATAATGCTACCAATCATATCTTGATATACTCGATACAAAAACCATGTTTTATGGATCGGACATTTTATTTGTTCTAGCAACAAATTAAGATATATCCGTGTTCAAAATTGTTCAATTCGTATTCCTACCTTCAATTGAGCCTGATATAATATAAAAATCTTACTATTTTGGACAATAATCAATTTCAGAACCGATATGTAGTGTAAGTTATTGACATGGTCACCATTTGAAGATCATTGGTAGTATTTAGGAGTGCACAGTGGGGCAGAATGGAAATTTTTTGGAAATAAATCTGGCATTTCTAAACGGCTGATCCGATCGTAGCCAAGGAGTATTCGAGTTTAAGTTTTGAAGATGAAGCCTGCAGATGCCCCAGGGCCGCGCTGTGGCGGCTCAAAGTAGGGTACCTACGACATGTAAAATTTTTAAACTTGTGCCATTTTTTTGTTTTTCATATTTTCTGAAAGCGCTCGACGAGATCTTGAAAAAACATGCTTGGACATACTACTTATCTCTTATAATATCAGAGTTATAGGCATTTAAAAATTTAGTGATACAAAATTTACCATACCTTGGTCCGCCTTTTTTTGAATACCGGGCGTAATTTTGGACCAAATGGACTCAATTTTTTCTTGTTAGTTAGACAACAAAATTTTCAATAATATGCAAAAAATTTCAGATCAATATCATTTACAGATCCAAAAATATACGTTTTTTAATTTAAAAATTCAAAAAATTTTAGATTTTTGCCGTTTTTTTTACCAAAAATGTGTCTTAACTCTTTTATTAATAAAATAAAATTTTCTTTAAGAACATATAACAATTTTATAGTTTTCTAAAAAGTATCTTTACGCAGAACGCTTTAGCGTAAAAAACTTGTCCTATTTTTTGAAAATGTTGCCACTGCGTCCTTCCGAATATGACCTATTTTTTATCAAAACTTCAACTTTGGGCGACATGTTCTAAAATCCCAAAGCTGGGATCAGAAAACTGAAAGCAGTTTTGGAAACCTCAGTATGTTTTCTATTTACTCCAAAAGTATTTTCCCAGCCCTGAAAGAAATGTGGACCATATGGGCAAAAAAGTAAAAAATCCCATTTTTGGGATTTTCATTCCTATTTTTGGGAATTGCGGGATGCCCTTTTTATATTTTTTTCATATTTTTCATATTTTAGTATTAAGTATGACAGAGCATATTTAAATCTTATATTTACCTATTTTCCATTTGTTTGCTTATCCTTATAATTGAAAGGTCCTATTATGCTTAAATTTTCAGAAATTTATAACTATTTTTTATCTAAATTTTTTCGACAGATCGTTTCGTTTATGATCATGATTCATCGATTCATTCACTAATAAGAAATATCAATGACTGAATTACAGATTATAGTAATATAGTCCTAAATGTTAATAGGTAGACAATTCGTAATTTTTTACTTTGGATCCACTTACGATCCAGAAAAAACAAGTAAGAAAGTATAGTCGGGCGTGGCCGACCATATGATACCCTACACCAGT